ACAAGCATATCTTTTAAAATCTTCCCTTCGTTACCGAGTGAAAAATGTAACCCTTGCTTCAGGAGATCCACCGTTTCAGAATCTTCAATCTCTCTTGATCTCCTGATGAAAGGGTTACATTTTTCACTCGGTAACGAAGGGAAGATCTTGTTGTCAGGACGACTTAGTTGAACGCACTTTCTCCGAAGTCCTCTGTCATAGTATTTATCATAATTCCTAGCATCAAACCGTAGACTTGGTACATTCTCTGATGTTTCACCGACATCGTTGTCGGCAGCATCAGTGAGTCTTGTCTGAGAATATACCAAGTCCACGGTTTGATACTGGGGGTTATGCTAACTACTATGCTAGAAGACTTCGGACAAGATGCGTTCTACTAAGTTGCCCTGACGACAAGACCAAGTTGCGAAAACGAAAACGAGTCTTGCTTCTCAAAAGCTATTTTCATCCTGGATGAAATTGCCTTTTGTGAATCAATGTTATGTGAACTTCATTGTAGCAAAATTCAATTAACATTCCTTTATTACCTTTAACCAAATAGGCTGAATACAACTTTTTTGAAAGCTGTTCTGGTAGTCTCTAAAGCCTACTCGTAAAGCGAAAATGCATTGCAAAAGTGTCTAGCATCAGGCCCGAGTCATTATAGTTTAATGACCCAAGGAAAAACATAACTAAGATTTCCTAAGACTGAAAGTAACTGATTGAGGTGATGAGATGTAAAATCTTCTACGAGTGTACAAAAACACCAGTCATGACCCATCAGTATTTATAATTATTGAGATTTAATGACTGGGATTGCACAATCTCTTATGTCTGGTTGGGTTGATGAGGTTAATAGGATTGTTGAACGAATGTAAATGCGGTTAGTTCAGCACCCTCTCTTGCTATCATTCTATCCAGTTCAGATCGCCAGTGAGAACTACTTATATCGCAAATAAGTAATTTCTTCTATTGCAATCGCATGCACATATTGGCGAGTTGACGAGTTGTGGTATGGTGCTAGGACTGGCAAGACTCACTAATGATGACGACTACGATACCGGCTTCATCGTGTCCATGGTCCGACTTTCGACATTATCATGCATACAATGGACTCCGGACAAGATGCGTTCCTTTAAGTCTTCCTACCAATATGACCAAGTTGGCAGCCGTGGCTGCGTGGTCGAGCGTTCATGTTGCTACGCTACTCACCAACCGAGTTCAAATCCCGCTAGGTGTGGTGATGAGAGACGGTGAGGCGAGGCAAGAAGACTAAACTGGAGGCCAGTCCACAGGGAATTCGATGAGTTTTTAGCCAATTCTATGGAAACATGGGACCTATTCAGCCTTGAAATCACCTTAAGTGATGCTGACCGACTAAGTCTTTCGTTTGGGCCAAAGTAGTTGGTGCTCAACTTGGCCAAGAAGGGAGGGGTCGAATGACGTCCACTGGTCAAGGGCTGTCTCGAGGCCATTCTGACGTGATGTCCTGTTTTGGCTACTCCACTTGCAGGCCAGCACACGAGGGGCAGTCCTCCGCTGGTCCGGCCAGCCGAGGTCAACTGCAGGGAGCCGGGACAAACGGGCTTCTCGAACGCCGCCACGATGGAACAGTTGGCCGGCGCCTACCTCCTCAGTCGGTCGTCAGGCCAACCGGTCGCCGAGGCAACCGATAACAATGGCTGGCTCGAGTCGGAGGGCTTGACAACGACGATGACGACGGCGTCGGATGCCGCGGAGGGTCCAAGACACGGCCAGAATCTGACGAAACTGCGCAACGTCATGTGCACTTGGGTCTGGCAGCACTTGGACACCGGCTACGTGCAGGGCATGTGCGACCTGTTGGCGCCGCTGCTTGTCGTGCTCGAGGACGAGTGGCAGGCTTACGCCTGCTTCTCGCGTCTCATGCTCTGGATGCTGGCCAACTTCCCCACGCCGGGACCTTCGGCCTCGGGCCTGGTTTCCACGCGTTTTCTCGCCTCGGACACGGCCCGCGGAGGTCCCGGCGCCTCTCGACCCCGCCACACCAGTCTGGGCCCTGAGCAGGCCGGTGCTCGCCTCCTCGAGCCCGAGGCCCGTTCGGCTTGTCCGAGTCCCTGTGGCACCGACGAGTCGAGACCTGCCGGCGAGGCTGATGCTGTCGCACTCGGCTGGCCACCGAGCGCTGAGGCCATGCCTCTGCACCGTCTTCAAGGCAGCCACGAGGCGAAGAAGTCC